TTTTGGTAGTAATATAAATATTATTTGTGCGATACCAATTTTTATATAGGAATCTAAAATAAAATTTGTTTGTACGAAAATGTAAGGTTAACTTTTTTTAACTAGGTGTCAACGTATTTTTAACTACAAATATTGCCTTTTTCTGTAAATGCATTGATTATTTTAATGATATAGTATGTCATAATACTAAAATTTAAAATAATTTATTTAAATTTTAATATTTAAAATCATTATATCAAGTTTCAAAAGTTAAACAAAGAAGTTTATAAAAAAAATTAATTCCTATTTTTGCCTTATAGCAACATGTAATAAACTATAGCTAAGAATGTTTGCAATATTACTAGAAATTATTCATTTTATCATCATATTTATTAGAAAGTGCAATGCATAATTTATCCACATTTAAATTCATTTTTTCAAATAGTTTTTTACCAATCTGTTTGCAATATTGTTGCTAACTTATAATACCAAGTAGTAATTAAAATCATTTTGATTTTAATTTTAATTCTTCTTTTAATCATAAACTATATAAAAATGAAGTTTTATTTTTCTAGAGCACCCCACATAATTTTAAATGATTTTGAGGATGGTTCTCTGGGAATGTTTTTTATGTTATATAAGCAATTAGTTTTCATAATCATTAAAATAACAAAAATATTAAAGATACATGCGTACATATAAAACGCATTATATTTCTCAACTTTGAATTATAACTTAATTGTTTTTAGGTAAACCAATATTTTCAATTGATGTTCATCCTTCTGGAAATAAACTTGCAACAGGAGGCCAGGGGGGAGATTCTGGAAGGGTGGTCATCTGGAATTGGGCCCCCTTAGTCTCACTCGATGCTGAAAATGATCCCAATGTTCCAAAAATATTATGTTTAATAGATCAGCACTCAGGTAATAACAAGTGAACATTATATTCAATTATGAATTCCTTTTTGTATATTTACATATTAAAAATAATCTGGCAATTATAGCAAATATCTTTTTATTTACAATAACAATTTGTTTAAGAAAAAAGTTGTTAGTATTGTATAATATTTTTTATTGTATTGTTTTTAATTTAATAGTACATAGCAAAATATTTATGTAATAATATTTTGCATGTATAATTATATTTTTAAAGCTTGTGTAATTGTGTACGATGGAGTTGGAGTGGAACAATGTTAGCATCAGCGGGAGATGACAAACTGATCAAGATATGGAAGAAAGGAGCAGGAACAGGCGGAACTGTTTTTGGTAGCAAGGTTGTTAATAAGGAAGCAAGGTTGTTTAAGGAAAATTGTTCAGCTACTTTACAAATTCATCAAGGTAATTAAAGCTAGTAAATTCACTTATATTTACTATATAATTAATTTTTTTTTTTTATTGACTCGTATTATGCATAAATGTAAAAGTAATAGGTCAATATTTTTCAAAAAATTGAATTAATTACTGAGTTTTCTGTTAGTTATAGTGTTTAATTTTTAGACTTTGAATGTTATAATCTTGTTTTATTAATAAATAAATTAAATTAAATCATTTTACAATTTTTCCAGGTGATATTTTGGATTTGTCATGGTCACCAGGAGATCGGTGGCTAATGAGTTGCAGTGTTGATAATACAATAATTATTTGGGATACTACAACTTTTACTGTAAAAGAACAACTTAGTGGGCATACGGGAATGGTGAAAGGTGTGGTTTGGGACCCTGTAAGTATGAAACTTACATTAATTATATTTGATTGTTATATATTATAATTTATATTTATTTTGAAAATTTATAATAAACTCGATAATTCAATAAATGAATGCTAAATTTTAGGTTGGTAAATATTTAGCTTCACAATCTGATGATAAGAGTGTTAGAGTTTGGCGTACGTCAGATTGGATGCAAGAAGCTGTTATTACGGAACCTTTTGCTAAATGTGGAGGTATTTCCTTTATATACATTATTATAAAGTATTAGTTAATATTCAAACTTTAATTCTGTTTATATTAATTTTATAATTTATTTAAAATTAATTGCATTCACTTCAAAATACCATAATAATTTTATTTATTATTTTTATGTTTTAATCCATGTAATATTTTAGGTACTACTCATGTTTTGCGTCTTTCCTGGTCACCAGATGGTCAGTACTTGGTTTCAGCTCATGCCATGAATGGCAGAGGTCCAACAGCCCAAATAATTGAACGAGATGGATGGAGCAGTGACAAAGATTTTGTTGGCCACAGAAAAGCTGTAACATGTGTTGTAAGTGAATATTTGAATACAGCTCAACACCCACCTTTCTCAAACAATCACACTTTTTGTGATATTGATAAAATTTAATAGAGAGTTAATTCAGTTTTAAAAAGAAAATATTTTAAGTTTCTACATTTCTTCTTTAGTTCTAACTTTTTTTCAACAAAAGAGTTCTAAAAATAATTAAAATTAAAAAAGTGCATGATAATGGTTTGATTTTATATATCAGGTGATATGAGAAGCTTTCAATTTGTTATTCTAATGTTATTTTCTAGTTTTAACAATACAGGAAATTAATACACAATTTTTCTCACAGAGATTCAACAATAATATAATGGAACGAGGCGCTAGGCCTGGAGCCCGGCCTGTCAAATATTGCTGTCTTGCTATGGGATCACGAGATTGTGCATTATCTGTTTGGTGCACTTCAGATCACAGACCATTATTTGCAATACATGATTTATTCACAAAGAGTGTAATGGATCTTTCATGGAGTGCTGATGGTGAATTCTTAATTTATTTTTGATAAACATACTCAGTGATTATTAGAAAATAATCAGTGGTTAATTAAATTGTATATTACGACTTTTTAAGTGAAAATGTTATTAAAGAGAATGTACAATTGTATTTTTTGTAATTAATTTAATGATCAAGTAGATTTATAAAGTTTTCCATAAATATTTTATCATTCATCTTTATTTTAAATTTTATTTAATTTATTAATGAATTTGTTAATCTCTTGTAGGATTGTCTTTATTAGCTTGTAGTTGGGATGGCAGTGTAGCATGCTTGCATTTTAAAAGTGAAGAAATGGGTCGACTGTTGACGAGTGCAGAAAAGGTTTTTAACATTGTTTTTTAGCAAGTTATTTTTTACTTATTCTTATATTCTTATTATTTTCCATAGAATGCATTATATGAAAGACTTTATGGACAGTCAGCTGAAAACATAAATGATTCTGGAAATCGCACAATTCTGGAAAGTTGTGATTTATTGGATGAAACCATCAAACCAGTGTCAAATCAAGTAAATGGTGTTGAAGAAACAAGAATAGTATCTAATGAAGTATCGATTAAAGACCAAAGTTTAAATGTTAGTGTTGAACAAGAAACCATAATCAATAAATCACAACCTCCACCTACTGCACCAAAACCAATAAACAAACAGATTGAAACGAGAACATCTGATGGCAAACGTAGAATTACTCCCATGTTTATCCCAGCAAATGTAGAATCGTAAGTTTCTTTTTTAAATATATAGAATTTTCTCATGTTTTAAAAATCATTTGATCAATTATAGAAATAGTTTACAAAATGGAACTAGTTTTCCAAGCAGTGCAGTCATGTCAAACACTAAAGCAGCTAGTATCACAAATTCTATGGTTAAACCCTCTGTTACCATGTGTAATCAAGTCACTCTTCCTAAGTCAAATGTTGCATCTAATAGGATTATTGATAATAATAAAACTGTAGATGAATCGTAAGTACAATATTTTGATAATCTAAATATTTTATACATAATAAATGGACTTTTATTTGGCTTGCACCGAATACTCGGTTACTATTCGGTATTCGGCATATTTGGCATCTTCTTTGATATTCGGCCGAATACAGAATAGTTAAAATCAAAGGCGCCGCTAAGCGACAGCATCGTTGGTGTTTTATCTTTTATCCGATAAAGAGCTCAGGACAGATCTGTATTTGGAAGTGTTCATTTTACATAATAGATTATGAAGAAATGATTTTGCTATAATATATATATATATATATATATATATATATATATATATATATATATATATAATATTTAAACTTTATCGACCTTTGAGGTTATAAATGACAACATGAAGAACTTTTTTCTGAATCTTCAAAGAATGTTACATGTTTATGCTATTTAATTCATATTAACAATTTTAATTCATTTCATATTAATAAATATCATTCAATGGTTACACACATAGATTTGTATCTACAATAAAGTAGGCTTGCATCGAATATTCGGTTACTATTCGGTATTCGGCATATGCGGCATCTTTTTTAATGTTTGGTCGAATACCGAATAGTAAAATCGAAGGCGCCGCTGCCGCTCAGCGATAGCATTGTTGGTGTATTATATTTTATGCGTTAAAGAGCTCGCGATGGATCTGTATTTGGAAGTATTCAGTTTACATAATATAATATGAACATATGAAGATTCTGTTATTGTATATAGACTAATTTAAACTTTATCGACTTTTGAGATTAGAATTCAACACGTGAAGAGCTTTTTACTGAATACTCACAAGATACTTTGTCACATGTTTATAATATCTAATATGAATCATTCAATGGTGCCACACATTATTTGTATCTACACAATAAAGTCATTCATTAAATTCAATCTAAGTATTTTCAAATGAAGAGCTCTATTATCGGCTCTTTATTGCAAAATATACAAACAATATTTTTGATCAGTTTATTTTTATTTCATTATAATTAGCCTTCTCAATATATGAAAAATAATATTATGTTAATAAAAAAAAAAATTAAATGTTCATGAAAGAAATAATTGAAAACACATTTATACAATATGTAAAGAATCGCTTTTTTCATGATTTTAACATTTATTTCCCGATCGCATATGGTATTCAAGTATTTGGTATTCAGCCGAATAATATAAATTGTACCAAATATTCTAAATAACAAAGAGTAATCGTATAGCGGTTACAAGTTTAGACATAAATTTTGAATAAATAATAATATAGCAACTACTGATAGTAATTACATTATTACGAACGATTTAAGGCGCTAAAAACCTGCCGAATAGTTGACGAATATTTGGTATTCGATCTCTGGAGCATGGCGAATATTCGATATTCGGTATTTTGCCGAATATAGCAAGTCTATTTTTTTATACATAAACATTTTTTTCAATCTCTATCGGTGCTAAACAAATATTTTATTTAAAACCTGATTTATGATATTTTCAAGCTAATTAACTAATATCTTGTCTACGAATTTTTAACCTCCTCCTTTAATGAAACATCTGATTTGCTGATTATGTTTTCTTTATTTTTGACGTTATTCTAAATCAAATGAAACTAAATTTGATAAATATGTGTGTTGTGTGCTGATTGTTGACCTTGTGCTGACGTTTTCTCAAAAACGGCTGGACGGATTTAAAAAATTTAAAAGTCTAGACATTTTTAAAAATCCAAAAACATTTGAATTGAACATTTTACCTAAATAGCGGAATCTCAATTCTTGTTGATGGATTATTTAAGTTCATACAACTTCTCTCAAGGCAAAATTCTGCTTGCAATTAATTAAATTTGTATTCAGTAATGATTAATACTTGTAAATTATTGTATGTTTTTTAGGCCTCTCGATAATAAATTAAAAAGGGCTCTAGATTTACCAAGTGTGGGACCTGCAGTTCCAGAAAAAAATAACTAAATTAGATAATGTTCGATCTAATATATCCCAAGCAGGACCATTAGCAGCATTTACTGGAAATGTAGTTCGGGATGCGGGAAAATATAAAATACAGGTGATTCATAATAATTGATTATTTAATGAAGAACATATACAAAAGTTTTAAAACTGATTGCATCAATCTTTTTCTTATTATTTTATTTAATTTAAATTTTTGTAAATTACATTTAAATAAAATCTGTTTTCCAGTTTTCAAACAATTTCCTGAAGACACAGCATGGACATTTGCATAGTATTAAAGCATACAATTCTACAATGTTATCGGATAATAAATTCTTATGGCAGTATTATACTGGTAAGTCAATAGGGAGTTAAATTATAGCAATGTTTTTTTAATATTGTTTACTTAAAGTATACTTAGTTATGGTTTATATAAAAATCTATATTAATTTTAGCAAAAAATGTTTAATCAAATTACTTATTCAAATGACACTGTTGAAAGTCAGTACGTACTGACTGACTGATATATTACATAGATTTTAATAAAAAAAAATTGTTGTTATAAAAGGTGCGTCAATTGTGTATGCAGCCTGCACAGCTTCTTTCATATCAGTGGCTTGTGAAGATATGGTAATTCACTGTTTAGAGACTACCTCAGGAAAGCCTGCCTTGCCATTAATATCTTTACCAGGACCTTGTATTCGATTAGTCTTAACACCTACAAGTTATTTAGCTGCACTAACAACAAATTCTCATGTTCTGGTTTGGAATATATCTGAAAGAAAAGCTATTTTTCGTGAAACATTTGGACATCTTTTAGCAGATGGTATGACAAATTTGGAATAATAAGAACATAGTAAACATCAAATTGAATTTCGATATGGAATGTATCATATAATTTAGAATCATATATGTAATGTTTATTATTCTATTTATGAAAGTATTTCTATTAACTTGCATAAATTCTTCACTTCCATAGTTTTGTCTTTGAATAAGTTTTATTATATTTCATAGCATATAAAAAAAAAGTTTGTCTTTCTAGACTCAATAAAGGAAGTTGAAAGATGTACAACTGATTCTTCTGAATCAACTTCTTTTGTTTTTACTGAAAAATAATTGATAAAAGAATATAAGCTTATTTGAAAATATTAAGATCTATTGATTTTTATATTATTTGCATATAGCTATATTTACATATAGTTGAAATGAATATTTAGGAATCTTGTTTAAAAAATGAATGTTCTTTTTTCAGCTACATTATTGAATTGTGCTCTAACACATTTTGGAATGCCAATCATAACATTTTCAAATGGCAAATCATATACTTATTGTAAGGATCTACAAACATGGTAAGTTAATGTTTAACAAAATTAAATAGTATGAAGTAGAACTAACTTTAAGTAATTTATTTTTTGCTGATTTATAGGATAATGTTATGTAATCCACGAGACCCTGTAATGAGGATAGGAATGTGGTCCGTCTCTAAAGCTACTCCGCCTCCTAGGGGACAAGCTTTGACTATTGCACAACATGCAATATCTGCCAAGTCCATGTTATATGGGTATATTTTTCATTATATTTTTAATAATGCTTACAAAAATGCATATTTTATATAATATAAGATACTACTTAATATGTTATATAAAATATCTTATATTATAGTCTTATATAGATTAGAGCATTTAAAATTCTAAAATTGATTATGGCATGCCAATTTGGCTCAAAAAATATATTATTTTTTCTATTTCATTTTTAAATAGCTGCAGATATATTGAACAATTCATTTCTTATATAAATTTTATGATGCCACAAATCCACTTACCACAAAAAAAATACAGCAGTACTGAAGTATTTAAAATTATAAAAATAGATTGTAAATTGGGCTGAATAATTAAAACAAAACAAGAACTAATACTGAGAATTTATAAAATTTCAATTAATTATGATAGTATATTTTTTTATTATATTATATTATATTTTTTTATATTTTTCTTTAATTTTTAGTGCTGGTAATACTCGTCAGCATGCAGCAGCCCAAAGCTTTCTGGAATCACAATTGATAGCAAGTGAGGCCTTGAAATCAGCTGATGACTTCCGATATTGGCTAGAAGCGTTTATGGAGCATTTAGGAGCTCATGGGCCTGAGCAAGCATTGAGAAGAGTACTAGATGATCTGTTGGGTTCGTCTATTTTGATGTCCAAAGATGCAAATAATACTTCGAAACGAGAAATATTGGTAAATATAAATTTTTATTTGTGACTAAATACCCTGAAAGTTTATGTTTGCTTCTATAAATACCAAGGCTATTAATTTTATTTGTACTTTTATGGGAGGATTCATATTTTATTATTATTCTTTATAGGCTTAATTTTTCATATTTATTAAATATGACTATCTTATGCATGTTTACAATAATTTTATATCAACAATGCAACAGATATCAATTGTAATCATTCTAAAATAAAACACAGACTATAATAGTTTGTTCATGTCATTTTTAGAATTTTTTTTATGTTGAAAGAATTTCTGACCAAAATTATTTATCATTTCCAGGGACTTGACAAAAATGTACTATTAGAATCTTGCCTACGAATTCTGAGGAAGCATGTTAAATGGCAAAGAATATATTTAGAATATTCAGATCAGATAAATGAAATAAATGCTCAAAAGTTATGAGTTCTTCAAAATATATTTATTCATTAAGAAATATTATTACTTGTTTGTATAATGAAATTCTTAATCTAATTATATTTGAATAGTACTAATCATTTTGTATCATATGTTAATAATTCACACAACTGACTGCCATTCATCTTACATTTTATTTTCCTAAGAAGTTTTATCACAACAAAACATTATTCCATTTCAATTGTAAATATTAAAAGTAATTTTTACAATTTAAATTTATCATTTATTGCTACTAAATTTATATTTATTCTAAATACCAATATATGATGTACATTAATATTATTTATAAAATTTGGAAAGTATGTACATTTTTTATTATGTATCCCATAATATCAATTATACTATTTATAAAATATAATTTTGAATTATTTTATACTTTAATAAATAAATTGCAGAAAAACTGTTTTATTGAATAATCTTAATTTTAAAAAGTAATTAAAGAACTATCTTTTGGGAGTTTGTATTAGAACGTTATTGTTTCAGAGAATTCAACATTATCGTTCGCCGACAAAAAAAATGGTAGCGCACCATATTGTCAAATAGAAGCACTGACACCTTCTATCTTAGTGCAAAATCCATAGATAAACAAGTATAATGGTTCCTGTCTGAGAAAAGACAGCATAGCACATGTTTTAACTAAAAAAGAGAGCATGTGCTCATAAATTGCAGTTTGTTCGAAGCGAACTTATTTCCCTGTTCCTATCTTTGTATTATTTTATATCTTTGTTTTTTAGTTTGAAGACATTTTTTGAAGTTTGCATATAATAAAATATAAAAGAAATAACACAAAAAATTATGAGAAATATTTCATCCATGATAATATGTATCTGATTTTTTTTGTTTTCCATTTGACATATAATTAAATTAACATCTTTTTGCCGAATATCACCTTGTGCTTTTTTAATTATCAAAGCTTTGTTTTACAAAAATGGATGAAGATGAAGTTGAACGATTTGAAATAACAGATTATGATCTAGAAAATGAATTTTATCCTAGAAGTAGAAGACGTCCTACAAAAAATCAACAGATATATGGTTAGCTTCATTTTAAATTTATACCGTTTAATCCTAGGTTGATAATATCTGTGCTTGAATATTGAAATCAATCTTTTTAGCAGTTTCTGATTATTTCTAAATCATAGCTTAAGAATATTGTTTTTGCATAATTTGTATAAACGTACTAACTACCAATAAGTTATTAAATTAAAGTTCTTTGACATAATGAAGCAATTTATTACTTTTATTTTCTTCACTACATTTGAGATTAATTTTTTTTCTATTTGTGTAAGGAATTTGGGCAGCGGATGATAGTGAAGATGATGAACCCAAATCTGGGAGGAAACGGCCAAAAGATTATAGTGCACCAGTCAACTTTATTGCTGGTGGCATTCAACAATCTGGAAAAAAAGAAAAAGTCGAAGATGAGGGTAAAGATTATGATAAAACATAAATAATATGTGTTAAATTATATCATTTTGCTTAATTTCTCATGTTAATTGCTATTAATTAAAAATTATTATTAAATAATAGTTTTTGAAAATGCAAGAGATTTATACATTATTACATTAATTTAAACTATGTTTAAATCTTCAAATCAAAATGAAATACAAAGGTTGAATATAAATAAAAAGGTTGAATTGAATATTATTTGATTTGTATAACTCAGCTTTTATTTTCATTCATTTCAATCAATTTTAGAAAAGGAAGAAGAACCAGAAGTTATAAATTCATCGAGTGAGTCAGATGAGGAACCGAGGGCAAGTTTTAAAAGTAATGAGACAGCTGGAATGCGTAGTGTACAGAAAGGATTTGTTCAACAAGGAGTTGGCAGTTGGGAGAAGCATACTAAAGGTATTGGTGCTAAGTTGTTATTACAGGTAACTATTTATAAAGAACGAAACGATTTAATATTATAATTAATTTTTGGTTTCCTATTTTTTTTGCGTTAGATGGGATATCAACCCGGTAAAGGACTTGGAAAAACATTGCAAGGTATTTCTGCGCCAGTTCAAGCACATGTGAGAAAAGGCAGAGGAGCCATTGGAGCATACGGTCCTGAAAAGGCACCTAAAGTAGCCGATAAAAAAGTATGTTGCTTTTATATATGGTATTAATTTAACAATAAATTGCCTAGTATTATTAAAATACCTGCATAATGGAATATTTTGTCCAATATAATTTTTTAGAATTTTAAACTTTCCAAATTTGTGTATAATAATTTCAAAATATGATTATTATGTAGTCAGGACAAGCTACTGAAGATGGTAGTAAGAAAGAGTCATCGAGTTATAAAGAGAGGTTAAACAAATGGCGAAGAAAGGATGGAGATAAATCACCGAAAAATAAAACCAGATATTTTTATAACAACTTTAGTGAAATGAAAACGGAATCATTGTTGATAAATAAGCAACCCAAGATAGATTCTTTAAAAAAGTAAGTAATTTAAATATTGCTTAAATTTGCTCATGTTCATGTAAAATGAATGATTTTAGGGAATTTGAAACTACAAAAATAATTGATATGACAGGACCTACAAAAAGGGTTTTATCTGGATACCATGCTCTAAAACATACAAAAACTAATGATGATAATTTATATGATGAAAAACAATATGCAGTGAGAAATAATTTCTCACTACCGGAATTAATGCATAATTTAAATCTTATTGTCGAAATGTATGAACAGGTAATTCTTTGTAAAGCCTTATATATATTTCAAAGTTTTAATTACATACTGAATAAAGATTTCATGTTGAATATTATTGCAGAATATTATTGCGAATGATAAGATTGTGATGGACTCTTCTGATAAATTAGTTACTATGGAACATGCTCATAAAGCTTTGCAGGATGTAGTTTCAATAGAACAAACTTATATAAGTTCATTAGAAAAAGTATTTGAAATAGTACAAAATCTTAAGAGAGAAGATATAGGAATGAATGAACTGGCAGAACAATTAGTAATACTTCAGGTAAAATATTTTATTAATAAATATTTTTTAACTTGAAATTGATTTAAAATATAATTCAGTAATTTTTTATAAATAATAATAGGTCAAATTAATTTTTGTATAAGAATGCCTTAAATTGGAGTTGAATTTAATTCATAAATTGTTACTTTTAGTTTACTCCATTGATGTGCATTTTAATCATTTTTAATAGAAGCAACTGTGAAAGTACATTAGACTATTTAATTTAACAATAAAACCAATTTTTATTTTCTCACTTTGAGTATTACAAGTTGCGTTAAATATATATTTAATAGAACATACAGTATTAAATTATTTTTCGCTAATTAGTAACCATTTCATTAGGCTTTAAATTTCAAGACCTGCCTCCATTCATGTGTATTTAAAGTGAATTGTAAATTTAACCACTGTAAAAACAACTCTAAGTTATTAAATTATTGTAATAAAATCTTGTATCAATAGAGTAATCATGCAACGGAGTATGAAGAATATCAACTTTGGGACCTTGCTCATCTAGTTGTAGCTCCCAAACTAAAAACATTTATGAATGGATGGAATCCTTTGCATTTTCCAAAGCAGCATATACAGCTTATCGAACAATGGAAAGATATATTATATGATGGAAAGAAACAAAGTGGAATAGAATCATTTGGAAAATTGGTAAGATTTCATTTGTAATATAGACTTCATGTTCATATTGTTATCAAGGCATAAACTACACAATTGTTAATTATTGATATATTACTATATTTTATATTATTAGTAGTTACTGCATATGTTTTATATAATTCATATTTTGTAAATTGGCTAAAATTCTTATAATATAAAAATTTACTGATTTTGGCTACATCTATATGTTATGGTAAATGTGTATATTTCGAGTTTTGGTAAATGTTGGATGTAAATGTTTAAACACATGTGGATAAAATACTAATTTATATATTTATATCTATTTATATTTATATTTATATTAGTTATTTTAGTCATATGCATATTAATATACTTTATTTATTATTAATTATTGACTATTAACTATTAATCTATTAACTAATAATCTATTAACTATTAATCTATTAACTATTAACTATTTACTTATCACTATTAACTATTAATCATTCACTCATCACTATTAACTATTAACTATCAACTATTAACGATTCACTTATCATTATTTACTATTTACTATTAACTATTTATTTATCACTTATCACCATTTACTATTTAACTATTCATTTATCACTATCGAGTATTAACTATTTATCTATTAACTATTAACAATTTATCTATCAACTATTAATTATTTATCTATTAGCTATTTATCTATTAACTATTAATTATTTATCTATTTACTATTCACTATTTACTATTAACTATTCACTTATCACTACTTACTATCCACTACTTAACGCATTAACTATCAACTATTTATCTCTTAACTATTAATTTTTTATTATTTATCTTTTTAACTATTTAACTATTCACTTATCGCTATTCACTAGGGATCGTTCAAGTATTATGTAAGCAGATTTATTACAATTATTTACTCCCCCATCTCCCTTGTCAGCAAAAGTAAGCAAAGCTCTTACCCCCTACCCCCATGCTTACGTAAACATTTTGCAATTAATGTAAAAAAATAAAAATACTACCTATGGCGTAATCATCATCCAGACTCCCCTGCCCCATGTCAACCCAAAAGAAGCAAATCAACAACCCCCCACCCCCCATGGTGCTTACATAGTACTTGAACGGCCCCCTATCCACTATTTAACTATTAACTATTTATCTATTAACTGTTAACTATTTATCTATTAACTGTTAACTATTTATCTATTAACTATTCACATATCACTATTAACAATTAAATATTCACTATTCACTTAAGGATTTTTATTTATATTAAAAGTATACATTTACCAAAACACAATGGTAAGTGCGCACATTTACTGGTGAATGTACATACACACTGTAATCAGTTTGGGAAATGTGCACATTTTTGTGCACCTAAAATATATAAAAATTGAAATTTACAAATTTATGTTGTATAGAATTTTTAATTTGGGCAAATTTATTTTGTACAGCCTTTTAGCTAAACAAATGTTTAGAAAATATATTAAATTAAATATGATAAAGAAAAGTTCTGTTTATGCAATATTCCATAAAATTATTTATGAGTTACATATTCACTACTATTTTTTATAAAACATAACACTCATATCATTATCATTTTTGTTTTACCGTATAATGAATATTATTTTTTTCAGGTTTGGTTTAGTGTTTGCCCCCATTTACAATCAGCTTTAGAACAATGGAATCCGAAACAACCTAATGATGCTATCCAGTTTTTGGCAATTTGGGATCCTCTATTTACAAATTGGGTTCGTAATAATATTTATGACCAATTATTGTTACCAAAGATTACAGAGGAAGTTATTAAATGGGACCCTACAACTGACATAGTACCAATTCATATTTGGGTTCACCCCTGGGCACCAATTTTAGGTAAAATTGATAATTGATACAAAAATCAAAACACAAGTCATAATACATGTAAACAATTTAGTATTTTACTTAATCTTTAAATGTGAAGGACCCAATTTGTTTGTTAGTTAGATTGATTGATTGAATGCTATAAGTTGAAAGTTCAATCTATTCACAAACAGAAATTTAGATTTTTTTTTAAATATATCCTTTAGAAAGATATTGAAATAACAGAAATATATAAAATGGCATATCTAATAACTAATTTTCATTCTTATATTTTTGATTTGGTTAAAGCTAATGTTTTCTTATTTTGATTTGTTTTTGACAATATAACAAATATTATATTAAAAATTGATTTGTTGATGTCTTAAGGATAATATTTTGAGATTCATGTACTTGATATTACATTTTTGTGATATATGTTTCATATTTCTCTTAATTATTATAGTTTGTAATTAATATTATTATGAAGAATACGAAATTGGAGTTGCTTTTTATCTTATTCATTATGATATGTTTTAAAAGAAATGAATATGAAAATGTTTGAATTTGCTACATGATTTAGGTAAAAGATTGGAAGTCATGGTTTACCCAAATATTCGTGATAAGTTGGGCTATGCCCTGGGCTCTTGGCATCCTTCAGATCGAAGTGCTAGAGCAGTTCTCATACCATGGAAGGACGTTTTTGATATGGGCGAATTTATGGCGTTTTTACTTAAATATATAGTACCTAAACTTCAAGCAACGTTGGCTGAGTTGGTAATTACCAGAACTCAACAAAACTTAGGTAAAATCTTTATACATATAAACACGTATCTACAATAAAATCAGAACATTTCTTTAACTTGCAAATCTATTTTAGAACTTTGGAATCAAGTCTGGGAGTGGAAAGATTTATTATCAGTACCATTAATGGCACAATTGTTAGAGAAATATTTCTTCCCGAAATGGCTTCAAATGTTGACAATGTGGTTAAATGAATCACCAGATTATCATCAAGTATCCAACTGGTACTCTTATTGGAAAAGTTTACTTAATGAGGATATGCTAACACAAATTAATATAAAAGGTAAACTGAAAATCAAATCATGAACAATTGTGAACTGTTTATAATTAATTTTACATCTATTATTTTTAACTTTTTGTAGGGTAAGTTATAGTAATCGCAAAAAAATCGAAAATGAACATTTTTGTATATTATTACAAAGGTTTCTAAATATTTTGGCATACTTTAGATACAAATTTTCGTCGACTATTTCGGGAACACCGATCAACCGATTTGATTGATTCAAAAAACATTCGATTCGTATAGATGTGGAGACGTACTGATTAGTTTTTGGTATAGGCAGGTCCAGCCGTTTCGAAGATACAGAGCAAAAAGTGCAGAAATTCCGATTAGATCCTAGCCAACCGCTCATAGTGTTGCGCGTGAGCATGTCGTTAAGCTGAGTTGGTTGGCGCGTCACCGCAATTTTCATTCGCGTTAGTAGATAAAAAAGTCAAAACTGATCGGGTTCTAATCCCACGTTTGTAATATTAAATTTTTTTTTTAAAATACTTTTTATGTTTGTATAGTTGATACTACACGAACTATTTGCATATATTTCGCGAACGAAAAATTGATGCGTTTGAAATAAAATATGTTCATTCTAACAATAAGTCCGGTTATTGTTAGATTTTGTTTATATATATTTCATTCAAACATATATAAACAACGTCGTCTAGTCTAATAAGTTTTTGCATTTTGTCTACAAGAAACAAATAATGAAAATTCTAGTTTTTGTAATATTTATTCTTAGACATTTTTGTTGACTGATTATTTTTATTCTTTGAATGTTACTGTACGGTAAGTTCCAGCAATTCGCCTTAAGGCACGATGCCATGCGCCCCACTAGTTTCATTAAGCAATGTAAATAAATACAATCTGTGAAATTAAACTTTCTATATAAAATGAATATTTAGCTTAGCAATGAAAAAAATATAAATTTGCGTCATATTTAATCTCTTTTGAGTATTTTTACGGGATTTGACCATATATTTTTTATTTCCAGAATATTTTAGAAAAGCCTTAGAAATGATGCATCGTGCTATTGGAGGAGGTATGCCTGAAACAACATATAAAGAACGCGCTCCGTCTCCAAAGACTTTACCAGCATTTAGTGCAGATGTAAGAAAATTTAGAGTTTTATTTACAATACAAATTTTATAACTTCAAACTTGAGTTGTGAGAACTGATTTCAAATCTAATAAAGATTTCTTCGATTTTTCAGAAGATGGGTATTGCTTCACTAGGTTTTCGAGAAATTGTTGCTCAAAGATGTTCGGAACATGGTATTTTATTCATGCCTATGATGGGAAGGAGATACGAGGGAAAACAATTATATAAAGTTGGGAACATATTTTGTTATATAGATAGAAGTGTACTGATGGTATGTTTGGATGGGGTTACGTATAAACCCATGGGTCTGGCAGAAATGATGGAACGCGCTGCCTAGATGATAATTAAAGTTTATGGATGATTTTATTATTTATGCAATGTATTTGTAGTGTATCTAGTAAATTTTTATTTTTTATTTATAGTATAATATTAAATAAGATTTTATAATAAATTAAAAAAATTTATTTATTGAATAATATTTTCCATAGCATATGAGCTTTCAAATTTTCAATTTATATTCATTCTTGAATTGATATCTTGTTTATAATAATAATAATATATTAAATAATAATGTTGGATAATTTTATTATGACTAGGAACTTACAACTCATCTTGATATTCAATATAGATGAACTTGATACTTTCGACATCAAATTACTTGTTCGCGAAACCTGATATTTGAAGTTTATTTATTGACATTACTTAATAAGCTGTAAAAATAGTCATTCATTCAATTTTTTCTTAGATAATACAGCTTTTATATATTTTTATGTGATTTAAGTATTTATTAATTAATACTTCCCAAAGGAAAAGTTTGTTTTTGCTTTAAGATCCGACTTGCTAAGTTTGTTTCCTTTTTTTTGATACCAACGATCGATAAAGTACAAATGTATGTATGTGTTAAAGAAATAAATGTTCTAAAATTTTACATTTGGTCAATCTTTTCTCAAAAACGGCTGCTCTGAATTTAAAAATTTAAATGCCATTTGATGGAATTCGATAAGAATTTTCTTGTTTAATAGTTCTGCACGACGACCGGCTGAGCAGTTTTTTTTTATTTGTGCATAGTTTTTCGTTAACGTTTTTGCCAAAAATCCTGAACCAATTTTGAAAATTCAAAAATATGCTTTGTGGTAAAGATTGACCGGTATATTGAAATTAATTAATGAAGTTATTTTTTTATTTTTTAATTTATTTTTAATGAAAATTTGCAGTGATCGAATTCAGATTCTTAACGTAAAAAGTAGTTTAATTACAAATCTCCATTAAAGTTATAAATTAATGGATTTGCACCGTTTACGTGTGTAGATGCCGCCTTATCTATCGTATTACTTTTCCGGGGACCATAATGCGTGTAGGCAAGAGTTATTAAATAAATTCGAAAAATGCAGAAACTTCGGAAATACTAAAATTATCATCAGCTATAAATAATTTAGTGTTCTTGCAGAAAAAGACACAAATGATATTTAACGTGTATTCAATCTAAATTGTGCAACAAAGTTTTTTGGGAAAAGTAGCAGATTATTTTGAATACATATTTATTTTAGGCTTACACCGAATATTCGGTTAATATTCGGTATTCGGTATATTTGGCACCTTTTTTAGTATTCGGCCTAATACCGAATACGTACTCTCTTTTATCGGCACCTTTTTTAATATTCGGCTTAATACCGAATATATACTCTTCTTTTAAATATGATCTATTTAAAATCAAAGGCGCTGCCGCCGCTCAGCGACAATAATCGGCATTCGGCATTTTGCCGAAAATACTATTCGTTGAAGCCTAATTTATTTCAGTTTTATGTAATTTTTTGTGTAAATTTTTTACGCTTATTGAAGGCAACCGAACAGCATTTTATACTTGGTCCCAAGGTACGCTACGCTTCTGAATCACTTTTTAAAATAATATATTGATTTTTAATTGATTAATTTGCTTTTTTTACATATATCGGGAAGTCTCGTGAAAGTATTATGTAAGAGCATTAGGATTAGCTTCTAGTTTTTAATTATATTTAATATTAGGAATATAGTTTATACTTATATTTATTTATGATAGTTACTTAATTTTATTGGTCACAAGATCAATGAATCTCGTTTTATTTCGCATGTCCAAATTTATATAATCCATGTTCTGAGTTCGGAATTCGAATTAGTGATGTCTTCTATGGGACAGTTTCATCACTGTAGTAAAAGAATAAACCTGGCATGACTTCATGATCCTGAAGATTATTTCATGGAAGTAAGTACGGCTCCTAGATAAAAGAAGAGTATATTTGGTACGGCTATTTATTTTAATCGTTTCGTTGGTGCAGTGCGGACGTTGATTGAACTGTTGTGCTAATGTAGAACATTATAAAGTATTCTGAGTGGACTGTTATGGTTGTTGATCGTTTTGTGAAGTGAAAATTGTGTTTTTTTTTTGTTAAGTAAATGTGTTAAATGTTTCAAAAAAAAAATTGACGCTGGGAATTGCGTATAGGTGAGTTGATAATTTCATTAATTTTAATCTATATTTGTATAAAATATTTATAACTATATAAGATAATTCATAAGTTGCCTCTGAATAAAAATTTGTTTTGCACAAGATAAAAATAGATTATTCTGTGCGAATAGTAGGAAGTAAATAATTATTAATATTGATGTATAACATTATAGAAATGTACATGTGCTTCACTAAAATATACATTTCTTTTGGAATATAATGCTTGGTTTTCGTTTCCTGGCATTTCTTTCAATATTTGCATTCAATAAACAATATTTCGGCATCATCCATGTTGTAACTATAGAGTGGCGGGGATAATGAAAGGCCAGCAGGGGATCCTGATTCAAATTTCTCGACCTAAAAGGCGGCGAACTCAGAAATATTTTTAATTGAATATATAGACCTGCGTCAATTTTTCTGCATCGATTTTATATAAATCAATTCAGTAGATGTTGATTTTATCTATTTTACTTCATTGCGATTGAAGTTAAATCAGTATTTTTCTTTACAACTACTCTCGTCTAACAATAAGAGAAGGAGGCGAATGGTCTGTAGTGAAACATATACAACATGTGATTGAGTACTCTGAAAATCTCGACGTTTATTAAAATTAAACTGATTGTGAGTACAACATGACGATTTTTGCCGATTGTCCCCATCAAGAGCATTTGCCACGGGCCACAGATGGTATGGTACGACAATGGCCATTGATGGCCATCAACTTTTTAGTGATTTTATAATTGTTTTTTTTTGTCCTCTACTAAAACGATTGTAAACGAATGCATATAGCTTGGCTTGAATAAACAACCTATCAGCAGAAATTAAGTCTAGTCAAATACGATTCGTATATCCTACCACATATTGTAGATCAAAAATTAATTACCATTTGCATATAATTAACTTCCCATAGGGTAAGTTACAGTAGTGGGCCGAAAATCAAAAATGAATTTTTTGCATATCTTCAAGTTTCAGAGGTTTCTGAACATTTTAGCATACCTCAGAAAAAATGAATGTCTATGTGTGTGTGTTTTGTATGTCCGCAATTTTTCGTCCACGTTTTCGGGCGCATGAATCAACCGATTTGAATGGTTCAAAAAAATATTATTCGAATACTTCTTTATGGTACGGAAAGTTCCAGTAATTTGCCTTAAGGCACGATGGCATACACCACTAGTTTTGTTACATCATATCACATAGGTCAGTATACGTTGTGTATCATCGATACTTAATTTACTAACCAAAACAAAAGATTCTATAATAAAAACTATGTTAGCCAGCGACTATATAAGATAAGCCTTCCATGATAATTCATCATGATTAATCTCTTTTATCTAATCAGATAAAATACTTCTTAACGAAGTTATGGAAACCATTTTTAAAAAATTATAAAAAGTTGTTTCTGAATTCGTTGAGTTGACTCTCAATTAATTCGAAATTATTGTATCGAAAATGTATCTTCGTAAATATGATATTATTGTGCATGTTATGCAATTTGTTTTGAAGAACATACATTTACAATAATATCTAAATTTATTTTCTGCAGCATGTTACAGTTATAATCAATTTCCAATAAGCATAGAAGATTGATTCCACTGTTATTATAATTACTTACAATTAGTGTCGTGATGTTTTATCATTCCACAGTAAAATGTAATATCGTTTTTTATACGTTTCTGGATGTAAATTTCGCTTTACGAATTGCTCGGCTTGTTGATTTAATTTTTTAAAAAAGATCATATAATAAAAATGGTAAAAAATAACTAATAATATTTTTTTTTATTCCGAGTTTGAATTTTTTTATTGTAAAACAAAAAAAATTATTGTTTTAATTTACGGGTCGCATTTAATTTTTCAAAATTTTATGGCTCATTACACAAACATGATAATGACAAAAAGCTGAAACTTTCCGTACTAATTACTAATTGTTTTTTTTAAAAAGATTCATTTTTCTTTTAGAACTATGAAAAAAAACGATTTTTTAGATTTTTATAATTTAAAAACGACATTTTGACCTCCAAAGCCGCTAGACCTGCCTTTGCAAAATTTTCATTAATTCTTCACTTTGTCAATACAAATAAAATGTGTTTTAAATCTTACAATTATGACTCTCCGTTTTCTCAAAAAATCAATTATCATTTTTGGCACTTTTTGCCCCGTATCTTCGAATCGGCTCGTCCTGCCTTCACCCGAAAACTAACCAGCACGTTTCCTTATCAATATGATTCGAATGTTTCTTTAATTATTCAAATCGGTTGATCGGTGTTCCGACGAAAGTTGGAGTTGCTTTTTATCTTATTCATTATGATATGTTTTAAAAGAAATGAATATGAAAATGTTTGAATTTGCTACATGATTTAGGTAAAAGATTGGAAGTCATGGTTTACCCAAATATTCGTGATAAGTTGGGCTATGCCCTGGGCTCTTGGCATCCTTCAGATCGAAGTGCTAGAGCAGTTCTCATACCATGGAAGGACGTTTTTGATATGGGCGAATTTATGGCGTTTTTACTTAAATATATAGTACCTAAACTTCAAGCAACGTTGGCTGAGTTGGTAATTACCAGAACTCAACAAAACTTAGGTAAAATCTTTATACATATAAACACGTATCTACAATAAAATCAGAACATTTCTTTAACTTGCAAATCTATTTTAGAACTTTGGAATCAAGTCTGGGAGTGGAAAGATTTATTATCAGTACCATTAATGGCACAATTGTTAGAGAAATATTTCTTCCCGAAATGGCTTCAAATGTTGACAATGTGGTTAAATGAATCACCAGATTATCATCAAGTATCCAACTGGTACTCTTATTGGAAAAGTTTACTTAATGAGGATATGCTAACACAAATTAATATAAAAGGTAAACTGAAAATCAAATCATGAACAATTGTGAACTGTTTATAATTAATTTTACATCTATTATTTTTAACTTTTTGTAGGGTAAGTTATAGTAATCGCAAAAAAATCGAAAATGAACATTTTTGTATATTATTACAAAGGTTTCTAAATATTTTGGCATACTTTAGATACAAATTTTCGTCGACTATTTCGGGAACACCGATCAACCGATTTGATTGATTCAAAAAACATTCGATTCGTATAGATGTGGAGACGTACTGATTAGTTTTTGGTATAGGCAGGTCCAGCCGTTTCGAAGATACAGAGCAAAAAGTGCAGAAATTCCGATTAGATCCTAGCCAACCGCTCATAGTGTTGCGCGTGAGCATGTCGTTAAGCTGAGTTGGTTGGCGCGTCACCGCAATTTTCATTCGCGTTAGTAGATAAAAAAGTCAAAACTGATCGGGTTCTAATCCCACGTTTGTAATATTAAATTTTTTTTTTTAAAATACTTTTTATGTTTGTATAGTTGATACTACACGAACTATTTGCATATATTTCGCGAACGAAAAATTGATGCGTTTGAAATAAAATATGTTCATTCTAACAATAAGTCCGGTTATTGTTAGATTTTGTTTATATATATTTCATTCAAACATATATAAACAACGTCGTCTAGTCTAATAAGTTTTTGCATTTTGTCTACAAGAAACAAATAATGAAAATTCTAGTTTTTGTAATATTTATTCTTAGACATTTTTGTTGACTGATTATTTTTATTCTTTGAATGTTACTGTACGGTAAGTTCCAGCAATTCGCCTTAAGGCACGATGCCATGCGCCCCACTAGTTTCATTAAGCAATGTAAATAAATACAATCTGTGAAATTAAACTTTCTATATAAAATGAATATTTAGCTTAGCAATGAAAAAAATATAAATTTGCGTCATATTTAATCTCTTTTGAGTATTTTTACGGGATTTGACCATATATTTTTTATTTCCAGAATATTTCAGAAAAGCCTTAGAAATGATGCATCGTGCTATTGGAGGAGGTATGCCTGAAACAACATATAAAGAACGCGCTCCGTCTCCAAAGACTTTACCAGCATTTAGTGCAGATGTAAGAAAATTTAGAGTTTTATTTACAATACAAATTTTATAACTTCAAACTTGAGTTGTGAGAACTGATTTCAAATCTAATAAAGATTTCTTCGATTTTTCAGAAGATGGGTATTGCTTCACTAGGTTTTCGAGAAATTGTTGCTCAAAGATGTTCGGAACATGGTATTTTATTCATGCCTATGATGGGAAGGAGATACGAGGGAAAACAATTATATAAAGTTGGGAACATATTTTGTTATATAGATAGAAGTGTACTGATGGTATGTTTGGATGGGGTTACGTATAAACCCATGGGTCTGGCAGAAATGATGGAACGCGCTGCCTAGATGATAATTAAAGTTTATGGATGATTTTATTATTTATGCAATGTATTTGTAGTGTATCTAGTAAATTTTTATTTTTTATTTATAGTATAATATTAAATAAGATTTTATAATAAATTAAAAAAATTTATTTATTGAATAATATTTTCCATAGCATATGAGCTTTCAAATTTTCAATTTATATTCATTCTTGAATTGATATCTTGTTTATAATAATAATAATATATTAAATAATAATGTTGGATAATTTTATTATGACTAGGAACTTACAACTCATCTTGATATTCAATATAGATGAACTTGATACTTTCGACATCAAATTACTTGTTCGCGAAACCTGATATTTGAAGTTTATTTATTGACATTACTTAATAAGCTGTAAAAATAGTCATTCATTCAATTTTTCTTAGATAATACAGCTTTTATATATTTTTATGTGATTTAAGTATTTATTAATTAATACTTCCCAAAGGAAAAGTTTGTTTTTGCTTTAAGATCCGACTTGCTAAGTTTGTTTCCTTTTTTTTGATACCAACGATCGATAAAGTACAAATGTATGTATGTGTTAAAGAAATAAATGTTCTAAAATTTTACATTTGGTCAATCTTTTCTCAAAAACGGCTGCTCTGAATTTAAAAATTTAAATGCCATTTGATGGAATTCGATAAGAATTTTCTTGTTTAATAGTTCTGCACGACGACCGGCTGAGCAGTTTTTTTTATTTGTGCATAGTTTTTCGTTAACGTTTTTGCCAAAAATCCTGAACCAATTTTGAAAATTCAAAAATATGCTTTGTGGTAAAGATTGACCGGTATATTGAAATTAATTAATGAAGTTATTTTTTTATTTTTTAATTTATTTTTAATGAAAATTTGCAGTGATCGAATTCAGATTCTTAACGTAAAAAGTAGTTTAATTATAAATCTCCATTAAAGTTATAAATTAATGGATTTGCACCGTTTACGTGTGTAGATGCCGCCTTATCTATCGTATTACTTTTCCGGGGACCATAATGCGTGTAGGCAAGAGTTATTAAATAAATTCGAAAAATGCAGAAACTTCGGAAATACTAAAATTATCATCAGCTATAAATAATTTAGTGTTCTTGCAGAAAAAGACACAAATGATATTTAACGTGTATTCAATCTAAATTGTGCAACAAAGTTTTTTGGGAAAAGTAGCAGATTATTTTGAATACATATTTATTTTAGGCTTACACCGAATATTCGGTTAATATTCGGTATTCGGTATATTTGGCACCTTTTTTAGTATTCGGCCTAATACCGAATACGTACTCTCTTTTATCGGCACCTTTTTTAATATTCGGCTTAATACCGAATATATACTCTTCTTTTAAATATGATCTATTTAAAATCAAAGGCGCTGCCGCCGCTCAGCGACAATAATCGGCATTCGGCATTTTGCCGAAAATACTATTCGTTGAAGCCTAATTTATTTCAGTTTTATGTAATTTTTTGTGTAATTTTTTTACGCTTATTGAAGGCAACCGAACAGCATTTTATACTTGGTCCCAAGGTACGCTACGCTTCTGAATCACTTTTTAAAATAATATATTGATTTTTAATTGATTAATTTGCTTTTTTTACATATATCGGGAAGTCTCGTGAAAGTATTATGTAAGAGCATTAGGATTAGCTTCTAGTTTTTAATTATATTTAATATTAGGAATATAGTTTATACTTATATTTATTTATGATAGTTACTTAATTTTATTGGTCACAAGATCAATGAATCTCGTTTTATTTCGCATGTCCAAATTTATATAATCCATGTTCTGAGTTCGGAATTCGAATTAGTGATGTCTTCTATGGGACAGTTTCATCACTGTAGTAAAAGAATAAACCTGGCATGACTTCATGATCCTGAAGATTATTTCATGGAAGTAAGTACGGCTCCTAGATAAAAGAAGAGTATATTTGGTACGGCTATTTATTTTAATCGTTTCGTTGGTGCAGTGCGGACGTTGATTGAACTGTTGTGCTAATGTAGAACATTATAAAGTATTCTGAGTGGACTGTTATGGTTGTTGATCGTTTTGTGAAGTGAAAATTGTGTTTTTTTTTGTTAAGTAAATGTGTTAAATGTTTCAAAAAAAAAATTGACGCTGGGAATTGCGTATAGGTGAGTTGATAATTTCATTAATTTTAATCTATATTTGTATAAAATATTTATAACTATATAAGATAATTCATAAGTTGCCTCTGAATAAAAATTTGTTTTGCACAAGATAAAAATAGATTATTCTGTGCGAATAGTAGGAAGTAAATAATTATTAATATTGATGTATAACATTATAGAAATGTACATGTGCTTCACTAAAATATACATTTCTTTTGGAATATAATGCTTGGTTTTCGTTTCCTGGCATTTCTTTCAATATTTGCATTCAATAAACAATATTTCGGCATCATCCATGTTGTAACTATAGAGTGGCGGGGATAATGAAAGGCCAGCAGGGGATCCTGATTCAAATTTCTCGACCTAAAAGGCGGCGAACTCAGAAATATTTTTAATTGAATATATAGACCTGCGTCAATTTTTCTGCATCGATTTTATATAAATCAATTCAGTAGATGTTGATTTTATCTATTTTACTTCATTGCGATTGAAGTTAAATCAGTATTTTTCTTTACAACTACTCTCGTCTAACAATAAGAGAAGGAGGCGAATGGTCTGTAGTGAAACATATACAACATGTGATTGAGTACTCTGAAAATCTCGACGTTTATTAAAATTAAACTGATTGTGAGTACAACATGACGATTTTTGCCGATTGTCCCCATCAAGAGCATTTGCCACGGGCCACAGATGGTATGGTACGACAATGGCCATTGATGGCCATCAACTTTTTAGTGATTTTATAATTGTTTTTTTTTGTCCTCTACTAAAACGATTGTAAACGAATGCATATAGCTTGGCTTGAATAAACAACCTATCAGCAGAAATTAAGTCTAGTCAAATACGATTCGTATATCCTACCACATATTGTAGATCAAAAATTAATTACCATTTGCATATAATTAACTTCCCATAGGGTAAGTTACAGTAGTGGGCCGAAAATCAAAAATGAATTTTTTGCATATCTTCAAGTTTCAGAGGTTTCTGAACATTTTAGCATACCTCAGAAAAAATGAATGTCTATGTGTGTGTGTTTTGTATGTCCGCAATTTTTCGTCCACGTTTTCGGGCGCATGAATCAACCGATTTGAATGGTTCAAAAAAATATTATTCGAATACTTCTTTATGGTACGGAAAGTTCCAGTAATTTGCCTTAAGGCACGATGGCATACACCACTAGTTTTGTTACATCATATCACATAGGTCAGTATACGTTGTGTATCATCGATACTTAATTTACTAACCAAAACAAAAGATTCTATAATAAAAACTATGTTAGCCAGCGACTATATAAGATAAGCCTTCCATGATAATTCATCATGATTAATCTCTTTTATCTAATCAGATAAAATACTTCTTAACGAAGTTATGGAAACCATTTTTAAAAAATTATAAAAAGTTGTTTCTGAATTCGTTGAGTTGACTCTCAATTAATTCGAAATTATTGTATCGAAAATGTATCTTCGTAAATATGATATTATTGTGCATGTTATGCAATTTGTTTTGAAGAACATACATTTACAATAATATCTAAATTTATTTTCTGCAGCATGTTACAGTTATAATCAATTTCCAATAAGCATAGAAGATTGATTCCACTGTTATTATAATTACTTACAATTAGTGTCGTGATGTTTTATCATTCCACAGTAAAATGTAATATCGTTTTTTATACGTTTCTGGATGTAAATTTCGCTTTACGAATTGCTCGGCTTGTTGATTTAATTTTTTAAAAAAGATCATATAATAAAAATGGTAAAAAATAACTAATAATTTTTTTTTATTCCGAGTTTGAATTTTTTTATTGTAAACAAAAAAAATTATTGTTTTAATTTACGGGTCGCATTTAATTTTTCAAAATTTTATGGCTCATTACACAAACATGATAATGACAAAAGCTGAAACTTTCCGTACTAATTACTAATTGTTTTTTTTAAAAAGATTCATTTTTCTTTTAGAACTATGAAAAAAAACGATTTTTTAGATTTTTATAATTTAAAAACGACATTTTGACCTCCAAAGCCGCTAGACCTGCCTTTGCAAAATTTTCATTAATTCTTCACTTTGTCAATACAAATAAAATGTGTTTTAAATCTTACAATTATGACTCTCCGTTTTCTCAAAAAATCAATTATCATTTTTGGCACTTTTTGCCCCGTATCTTCGAATCGGCTCGTCCTGCCTTCACCCGAAAACTAACCAGCACGTTTCCTTATCAATATGATTCGAATGTTTCTTTAATTATTCAAATCGGTTGATCGGTGTTCCGACGAAAGTTTGTATCCGCACACACACATACATACATACACACACATACATACATATACACACATACATCCATTTTTGCTGAAGGTATGCCAAAATGTTCAGAAACCTCTGAAACGTAAAGATTTAAAAAAAACATTTTCGACTTTTTTGCTATTACTATAGAACTTACCCTACGGGAACTTAATAACAACAAATTGCATACCTATCCAATTGATATCAATATAATCATTCAAATTGCATAATAAACTATATTATACTGGAATTTACAAATATATGATATTGAAAATAATGGAAAATTCTATGAAAAAACTTCAAGATATGGTACAATTAAGGACAGTAAGGAAGGGATGAATAAGTTAAATAGTAAGTAATGACTCATTTAACATGATATTTATGGAAATTTAAAAGATAAATTATTGGTTATTATGAAGTTTGGAAGTCTGTAATTATTGTATAAAAAAATATCATCAGTTAGTTGTTTTACCAATCATCTTAACATTGATATTGTCACAATCAGTGTCCCTTTCTAGAAATCGTTTAAGTGACTTCATAATGTAGTTTTTTATTTCGAGTTATTTGCTTTTTTTGTGAATTAT